TCGCCTGTCAAAAAATCGCCTCATGTAAAGGCATCTTTAGTTGAACGTCCCAAACGTTGCTTTTCAATGCTTGTTTTGCATGGGGAAAAGGTTCACATGCAAAAAGATTTTGACAATTTATATTTTTTGTGAGAAGAAATTAAAAATATTTGACATTTTAGAGGCCGAATAATAATAAAAAAAAAAATAAGTTGCTCTGCTGATACTCCCTGTTCACTGTGCCTTGGGTAGTACAAAACATTGTAAAGAAGTACATTGGACTGTACTCCGAAGTACAAAGTACAACGGCTCAAATAGAGCTACTGTACTTCCGACAGAAATACGGTTGGTCACATTATGTATACATGCACAGTTTCGACTCAAAACCGAAGTAATGCATATCAGAAAAATGAAGTAATGCATACATGCACAGTTTCGGTTCAAAACCGAAATAATGCATATGACAAAACCGAAATGGTGCATACATGAAAACGAACTTCTTTCTTTGTAGGCAGCCTCCGGCCGCGCTTAGCGGTTATAACCCTTACAAATAGAATTACCCTTTCTATGTTACCAGAAAAAAGTTGCGGAAGCATTTTTGAGCAGAACTACTTTTTGCGTAGGCGACCTTCGGCCGCGGTTAGGGATTATAACCCTTACTAAGTAGAATTCTCCTCTCTGTTTTGCCGGAAAAGAAGGGCGGAAGTATTTTTGCGCATACCTTTTTGCGTAGGCGGCCTTTGGCCCCGCTTAGGGATTATAACCCTTACTAAGTAGAGTTCTCCTTTCTGTGTTGATGGAAAAGGGGGGTGGAATTATTTTTGCGTGGGCGGCCTTTGGCCTAGTGATTATAACCGTTACTAAGTAGAAGTAATTTGAAAAAAAATTAAACTATTCATATGCACACTTTGAAAACCGAAATTATGCATATGTGAAAAACTAAGTAATGCATACATGCACAGTTTCAGTTGACCACAGAAATAATGCATATGAAAACCCCGAAGTAATGCATACATGCACAGTTTCGGTTGAAAGCTGAAATAATGCATATGGGAAAATACCGAAATTATGCATATGCATACTTTCGATTTAAAAGCGAAATAATGCGTATGAAAAAAACCGAGTAATGCTTACATGCACAGTTTCGGTTGAAAACAAAGTTGACACAGAACCTGTTATTTTTTAATTTTTCTTCTGTTAAAGTGTTTTTTTTTTAATATTTTTATCAATGGGAATGGGTCGAAATTTCAGACTTTGGTATCGATACTGAGTACTCATTCTAGCATCGAGCTCATGGTATCGATACTCTAAAAGTATCAGGGAAAAAGTATCGATACTACCCATTAAATTTCGTTAAGGGTGTTCTCGAGAACCTGTTTGGATTCGGTTTTTTTTTTATATTACATAGATTTATAAATCGTCTGCGTATATGCAGATGCGATTATTATTTGAGAGGATTGAATTGAGTTCATTAAAAGCTATGGAAAATAGAACAACTGAAAGGGGTGAACCTTGCGGAATACCATTGACCAAGGGTTAAAGGCTAGAGTAGATGCCGTTTACTCTTACACGGATTTTACGGAGAAATGCTTTTACAAAACCAAAAATTATTGGACCAACTTTCCATTGGTGTAGGGTTTTTAGGATAACGTGGGATCATATCCTGTCGAATGCTTTCTCAAAGTCAATTGATAAGATTGATGTGTGGTTCCGTCTTTACAGAGCTTTTGAATCAATGTGCAGCAGAGCGTCAATTCATCCTTTACCAGGTCTAAACCACTTGGTTGGATGAGACGAGCTTCATCTTTTCCGTGTACCAGAGCAAACGCGTGTCTATTATTTTCTCAACTAATTTCGAAAGACACGAGATTAGCGAGATGGGACGGTACGATCCAGCCAGTTGGTTGTTTTTTGAGGTTTTGGAATAGGGATGATAGTGGCTGCTTTTAGCTTTGAGGGATGCCACCTGTGGAAAATACGTTGTTGTAAAGTATCAACAGTCTTGTTTTTGTTTAGGTGCTTAATCATGTTGTATGATATACGATCGAAACCGGGTGTTTTCACTTTGGTTGTTTTTAAAGTACAAAGCAGTTCGTATATTGTTATTTAGGCTTCCATTTCCCTTGGACTTTTTGGGGTAGTTTGATTGGGAACTTGTTGCAGAGATTTTGCTTGTCTGTACTGATCCGGAAATGAGTACTCTGACCAGTTCTGGGCAAAATGGTGAGCTATTAGCTAGGGATGAGTAATTAAATGTTGAGGAGATTAAATTGCTGTTATTGAATATTATGTGTTCTGTAGTGATGTGTTAACGTTAATTGTTTTTGCAAAATATTCAAAACTGATTTTCTTTTGTTGCCTCATTTCTCTGCGAAAAATTGCATTTCTTCTTTTGTATTCTAAAAGGTTTAGTTGTGTTGGGTATCTACGGAAAGTGTGCCATCTTTTCACTTCGCAAGATAGATAGCGCATTATAATATTGTTAAATTTATAGTAGAGGAGCCCACGATGCTAAATCGGGATTTACTCGAGCGTCATTTTGACCTATTGGATTTTGAAGATTATGTGATGGGAAGAAAAAAGGTCATGTGATGTTTTTCCTTCTAGCGGTGGGTGGCGGATCGACAGGCTTCCAAAAATGTAAAAAAAAAAAACAGTTACATGGATTAACTCGAGCGCGTTAGATTTGGTAGTGACGGACGTGTTTCTGATGACGGATATATGCCAATCTGCCGGTTTGCATGGTGGGGTTGGGCGTACGGAAGAGTCAAAAATGCTTGACAAAAAAATTTACTCGATCGCGTCAGATATTCATAAGGGATGTTAAATGGGCCCGAACGAACCTCCCATTCAATAATCTGACGATTCAGATGTGAAGCAGGCTCATGGCGTCTTCTTGAAGATGCAAAAAAAAATTGTCTTTGGATTTACTCGAGCGCGTCAGATTTTCATACAGAAGGTTCATCTCGATGCCCCGGTCGCACAATGGGACTATAGCGGCCAAAAGTAGTAAAAACGGGTTAGCGAATTCTGAAAAAGTAATTACGCAAATACATAGTAAAATATCCAGCTAATCCAAACCAAAAAGAATTTTTGATGGAAATGCATATTTTCAATCATGACACGAGCTCAAAGTAGGAACAATGTGAAAAAATAACTTTATAAGAAAAAATTTTGATTTTGTCGCAAGTAATTTGAATTAATTTTTCCACATGTACGCATATATAAAAAGCCTGTCCGATTGATGAGCAGTTTTTGAATATGTCTGTGGTCAAACATTGCTTAAAATTTTTATAAATCTTTTGAAATGTATAAAATAGTTTACTTTGAAATTCTACAGTGTTTGTTATTTTGTAGATGGTATGTACATGGCATGTTGAATGCTTATTATTCGGGTTTTAAACACTTTCCATAGTCTTTTCAAAAATAGCTTTTCTAGAAGAACTAGTCAGAACTGGTAACAGGGATATAGGGCGATAACCTTCGCTTCTATTTTGATTCTTTCCAGGTTTTGGTATTGGCGCTAGTATGGCATGTTTCAAGTCATGAGGGTATACTCCTGTTCTAAGAATTTGACTGTATAACTCACATAAACGATTTTTAAGGGAAGGTGAAGCGTTTTTGATCATCCTATAGGGTTTTTGATCATCCTATAGGTGATTTTGTCATGACCGGGCGTGGTGCCTTTGAGGCCTTTTAGTGTTAGATTTAGTTCTATAAGCGTTACTTCTTCTAGTATGTAGTTGTTTACGTTGTTACCTTCTTGCATTTGGTTAATGTTTATTTGCCTTCTCTTAACTAGTTCAGGACTGAATTGTCTATTTAATCCTATCGAACTCCATACAGTGGCAAAGTTGTTTGCTATTTGCTGTGGGTGATTGATTACTTTATTATTTACAAAAATGTGTGGAAAATTTGGTGTTTTATGAGATTTAATGGTTTTCAACTTTCTCCATAAGTTTTTTGTGTCGATAGTTGGGTTTAATAAATTAACGTATCTCTTCCAGGTATCTTGTTTTGCTTGTTCGCATGCCCTCCTTACTTGTGCACATGCTCTTTTATAGCTTAAAACTCGTGTGAAAGTTCCTCTCTCTTTTAGCTTTTTTTAGGCTTTGTTGTTTAGGCTTATCAACCTGCTTATTTCGCTATTGAACGAAACGGGGGAGTTTCTTTCTTTTGGTGGTTTGCAAGTTGGCATGGATTCGTTAGCTGATTTTCGTATAATTCTTTTGATTTTATATATTTTTTGCGTTACGTGGCAGTCTGAGAGAATTATTCTCTACTTTTGGTAGCATCGTTAGCGTCATGATGCGCCTCAAACGACTTCGAAAGGACAGTTTCATTAGAATATACTCCTAGTGTGGTGGGATTGTAAGTAATTGGTGTTTCTTGAGCTCCTACCAACGAACGGAATTATCGATTCGGAGGAGTATTGTCGGATATTGGGAGGTTTGAACGACTATATCATTCGAAACACACGTCGCAAACGAGGTGTTTTCCAAAACGACAACATGCTACCACATACATCTTCGGCGACACTTCGTAAAGTATTGGACTTGGGATGGAATGTCATGTCACATCCATCATAATCGCCTGACATTGCAACGTCAGACAACTTATTTCACTTTATTAGAAACCCCTTGTGTGTTATAAAGTTATATTGAGACGAGTCAATAAATCTGTACGAACGGTAAATTATGAAGCTTGTCGAAAGGTGGCAAAAGGTCTTCGAACAAAGCGAATAATATACCATTGATTGAACTTTAATCTTTATATGCATAAACAAATAAATTTTAAAAATATTCAAAAAGTACTCAATGACTTTCTCCACCCAATACCAAAATTTCGCATCAAGTATCAATTGAAAAAACCACGGTAAATAGCAATCAAAAATTTAACTGAAAACTGCAATTTGGATGCATACTCAGGTTTTAGATTAAAGGTATTTAACAGTTTACTATAAAGGATCAGCGGAAAGCCAAAGTTAATTATGTTCTTTTTTCGTTTATGTTGTGTATTAGGCAAAAGGCGTCACATCAGCCCAAGTTACAAATATTAAACCCCCTGAGGACCAGCGTAATGCGAGAAAAATATCGCGGTTCAGTGTGAGTAGAGTTCAAGAGCAAAAGGGTGGAGGAGGCAGTGGAAATAATAACGATGTTCCAACGACTCCTCCAATTGGGATGGAATCGCAAAAACTGCGTATTGATTTGCAGGCAATTGCTCAACAAACCGTTAGTCAAACTAAAGGTAGCCTCGTTAATACGCCGACCGAAGCTTCTCACATTCCGGGACAATATGTTGCTATAACTAACGCAGTTAGTGGTAGTATAAATACTACTAATTCGGCGCAACCACTTATATGCCCTCAATCACTGCAACAACAAAATCTTACACAGTTACAGCTTGCTCCGGCTCCGCAAACTTATTTGCATCAACAGATTCCTAATCAGTTATTACAACAGCAACAATTTTTGCAACAGCTACTTTTGCAGAAGCAAGCAGCTACACCAACATTGCAGCCACAGCAAAACGTCCTTACAAGCTTCAGTCCGATACAACAAAACTTATTACAACAACAACTCTTACAGCAATTGAAAACACCTCAGCAACAGCAGCAACAACCGTCACCGGTTAATCAAAGCGTCCCACCACAGCAGCAGCAAGCACCTCTCAGTGTGCAAAACCAGCAAATTCCTCAGCAAGTACCAAATCAGAATCAACCACAGACACAAACACTTCCGTCGCAGCTGTCAAACAATCAACAGAAAACTACAAATGCACAGACGCAAAATCAACAGCAAATTCAAATGCAACAGCAAATTGCAAATCAACAAATGCACATTGCAAACCAACAGCAAGTTCAAAATCTTCAGCATTATCAGAGCCAGCAAATTACTCACAATAAACTGCAAGCTCCGAATCAACAAGCTCACAACCAGCAAACTCAAGTTCATCAGCAGCAGGTTCCAAGCCAACAACAATCTCAGAACCAACCACAGCAAGCTACGCAGCAGCAGCATATTGTGGCTCAGCAATCGCAGGCATCCACATATTCTAGTACTGAAAGTATGTTGAAACAGAATACCATTATTTCTCAAAACATTCGCACACCAGCGCGCTATTGGTGGCGTCAATATTAATGTTATAATAACCCTTATTATTAGGTGCATTCTTTTGCAACCGCGCTACAAAAGAACACTCGGTAAAGTTGCGAGATACATGAAACGCAACAACAAATCTGAGTTCAGGTAGGTCAGTAAAAACTAGCGACTTGAAGCGTAATGTTGTTAAATGAAAAAACAGGGTTGCTTAATCAGTTTAAAGAAAATTTTATCCGAGTAGTGCGTTCTTTGCCGATCGTTTACAAAAGTATGCACCTATTACGCTAACGACTCGAATAATATTGATCGTGCCAAATTGGCATCAGCGGTCTCGATTTCTATTTTGGAATCTGCAAATTTATATTGTTGCTAACGTTGGTCGTCGCTAGAACTTGATAAAAAATTGTTTGCCAAAAAACCAAAAACAATGGAAACTTCACAAATATCAAATATGTATATTTTTTCATTCAAATTATCGATTCAACAATAGCCCAGATTTTCGAGCGATGTTAAAAATAAAGAACTATCGCTATCGCATTGGTGTACATACATTTTATTTTTTAATTACACATTGTTTGGTATTTTGTATACGGAATTTTAAATTTCAAGTTTCAGATGCTTCTGTACTAATGCCCGCAACAACAGAGGAGCCAGTTTCTTTAGCTGCTACCCATCCCCAATTGCTACCAACTGTGATTCAATCTGTAAGAATTGTTAGGTTATTTCATATTTACGGGTCGGCCTGAATTGATCTCGTTTTTAACTATAGGATATCAAACACAACCTTGACTCCTTGGTGAACCAACTGTGCAATTTGCGGCTAAGAACGAACCAACATCAGCGACTTCTTCTACTGAGGCAGCGCCAATTGATAGAGGAAGACGAACTACGTCTCAAGCACTATGTTGAGTACGAAAAATTCCAAAAGGCATTGCGCCAAAGTAAGTGCATAAGTTTGTTAGATTTGAAACATTTTAAAGGTAGCACTACTGGTGCTAGATGTACAAAAAAATTTACTCTGCCTAATATTATATTAAATAGTTGTTACCTTACGTTTTATGATAACAAAACAGTGCTGCTGCCTTTTGGTGAAGTTACTATTTGATTGCTTCAATTTTTTAACTTACTATTTTTATTATTACATTATATTTATATTATAACTTACTATTTTTTTCTATATAAACTAAATTTCAGTTGGAGAAACTCAACCTCAGGTAGTTTACGTGCAACCAGCAACATCACAGCATGGATTTGTCAATTTGGGAACTGGAAACTTTTTACCGCAGCTTCATAGTATGAAACCTTTTACAAATCTACAGTCAACATATGCGATAGGAATCAACCAAACACAACCGATTCAACAACAAGTTCTTTCTCAACTGCCTATGCAGCAACAACAATCGCAGCCACCGCCGCCAATTCAAATGGGTCTATATTCAAAACAAGCAACTGTTACATCAACAGCATGCAACAGTATTAGCCAAGAGCAATTTGCTCAGCAACAGCAGAATATACAAAAGATATTACCCCAATCGTTAACCAATAGTGGAAATAATATGCAATGTAGGTAGCAATTTCCCAAAACATGTAACCATTTTAAGGGTAATATGTATTATCATTGCATTGTCAAAAAACAGCATAAAAAGTAACATTTAACAATTCAAGGTAAGGTCTAAAAGATGTTGCTCTAAAGATGACTGCGCATGCCAAAAGATGATTTTTGATTTCACTTTAAAGCCGGATCTCCTAGCTTCACTTGCAATTAGGTCACTCAAAAGTAAAAAAAAGCATGATATGTTGATGCCAAATATAGGCTCCTATTATTTTGCACTAAAACCGTTTGTCGGTTTGGGTTGGGACCAAAAAACTTTGCTAATTGTTTCTCTCCTTTTGGGTCTGAGCTCTTTTAAACGCGTCGCCGGGCTCCATATCTGAAGTGTACTCTGGACATCAGATTTCCGTTTTCGTCTCTACAGGAAACAGCGCCGGTATTGAAACCATTTGATTGCAGCCTTATTTTCTGATAAAATTTTCAAGCCGCATTTGATCTCTTTTCATTAGTTTCATATATGTTGCTGAGGATTAAGGAAATGCAGTACAAGGTGTCTAGCCCGTAGTCCCTCAAAATCTTGGACAGCTTTAGAGAAAATGTTGAGATGACTGATTCTCCACGCCCCTTAATACCTATCGAACAGTTCACAGTGGGAAAAAGGGTTGCTGTGGACAAATCAATTTTGAGAGCCCAAATATGAACCGATTTCATGTTTCTTTTTTTAAATAAGCGATAATTAAATTTCGCGTCCATCTATCCGTGGCAATTTTTTAAAAAAACTCTTGATTTTTATTTATTTATGTTGAAAAATGAAAGAAAGAAATTGTTTACGTTTGAATGCTTCCAATTTTTTTTTAAATACTCGAAATTAATTTCAAATGCCTGCAATTATTTAAAAAATTATTCATAAAAATTTTTCCATAGGATGCATTTAATTAGAAAATGTTTTTAATTTGCCATCTATACTGATATATATTTTGAAAGCCGTTGTTTTCATTTCAAGGTACGGTCTAAAAGACGTTACTCTAAAGATGACTGCGCATACCAAAAGATGATTTTTGATTTCACTTTAAAGCCGGATCTCCTAGCTTCACTTGCAATTAGGTCACTCAAAAGTAAAAAAAGCATGATATTTTGATGCCAAATATAGGTTCCTATTATTTTGCACTAAAACCGTTTGTCGGTTTGGGTTGGGACCAAAAAACTTTGCTAATTGTTTCTCTCATTTGGGGTCTGAGCTCTTTTAAACGCGCCGCCGGGCTCCATATCTCAAATGTACTCTGGACATCAGATTTCCGTTTTCGTCTCTACAGGAAACAGCGCCGGTATTGAAACCATTTGATTGCAGCCTTATTTTCTGATAAAATTTTCAAGCCGCATTTGATGTCTTTTCATTAGTTTCATATATGTTGCTGAGTACAAGGTGTCTAGCCCGTAGTCCCTCAAAATCTTGGACAGCTTTAGAGAAAATGTTGAGATGACTGATTCTCCACGCCCCTTAATACCTATCGAACAGTTCACAGTGGGGAAAAAAGGGTTGCTGTTAACAAATCAATTTTGAGAGCCCAAATATGAACCTATTTCATGTTTCTGTTTTTAAATAAGAGATAATTAAATTTCGCGTCCATCTATCCGTGGCGATTTTTTAAAAAAGCTCTTGATTTTTAACCGACTTCCAAAAAAGGAGGAGGTTATCAGTTCGTCGGAATATATATATATTTTTTTTTTGTTTTTTTATGTATGTTACCGCATAACTTTGGACCGCGTCAACCGATTTCAATAATTCTTTTTGCAACGGAAAGGTAGTGTCTCAGAGGTGGTCCCATATTAATTTGGTTTAGATCCGATCATTGGATCATGAAATATATAGATATATATATATTTTTTTTTAAGTCGCTTTTTTTTTGCTAAAAATTACTTGTTATTTATTTATGTTAAAAAATGAAAAAAAAATTGTATACGTTTGAATGCTCGAAATTAATTTCAAATGTCTGCAATTATTTCAAAAATTATTCATAGACATTTTCCCATAGGATGCATTTAATTAGAAAATGTTTTTAATTTGCCATCTATACTGATATATATTTTGAAATCCGTTGTTTTCTAATCGAAAAATTTGAGAAAAACTGTTCCGTTATTTTTGAAATTTTGGACATCTACTCTAGACCCCCAAAGGATGATAATAGAGGAAAAATAATTTCTATATATCAAGGGGATGTAGCACCTCCCGTACAAACTGAAGTTTTCACACAACATATCTCTGGAAGTATTCATCGTAGAGTCCTGCAACTTAGTATAGAGATATATACTATTTGTTAGTTGTGCCGGCTCGTGGTCAAATGGTTTTAGAAATTTTTTTAATTAAAACACATGATTTGAAATTTTCCCAATATATTTCGGTTACACCGTGGTAACCGTCTTCAGGGCAAACTATTGACAACAAAAAACGTAAAATACATATAATATGACAATTTACAATAATTAAACACTAAATACATACATTGATTACATGTCTGCTCCGTGTGACATGGAGTTTTTGTACTGTTTTCTTGTTTGCCAGTAAGTGTCGATATAGGTGAGCGCAATTATCAGTGTCCGTTTTGTAGTTCAGTCGTATGTTTGTCGGTGTGTTTATTATGTGGAGCATTTATAAGATAAAGCGCTTGTTATAGTGTTGCTCTTGTTGGAGAATCGTTTCTCCGTCGAAGTTCGGTGAGTGACCGCTGGTAGCACATTGACCATTAGGGCTGTATTTGGAAATTTACATTCTGACATTGTTTAAAGCCAGATTTATGTTGTGATAGCCTTTTTTAAATTTAGATTTTGTTGTGCCTACATATACGCTGTTGCAAGACTCGTTGCTTCTTCCGTTGCATGGGATTTTATAAATTACGTTGCTTTTTTCAGTTATGGGTATTTTTGATTTGGTTCTGTTAAATATGTTTTTTAGTGTGTTCGTTGGCTTGTGGGCTATTTTTATTTTTTCTTTATTGTAGCAGGTCTGAATTTGCTAAGCGCTCTGATAAATGGGGGACATAAGTTTGCTAATTTAGATCTTCTTTACTAATGTTTTTATTATGTGCTCCGGAAAGTCCATGTTTTTTAATAATATTTTTATTTCATTCTCCATCTCTTTATGGTACGTTTCATCTGATATTTGTAGCATTCGTCGTATACACCGCATTGCTGTATTCATTATCATCGTCTTGGGGTGTTTAGAATAGAAGTTGATAATTCGTCCTGACGATGTTGGCTTCTTGTACCACTTTAACTTTAATTGGTTTCCTCATTTGATTATAATGGAGTCAAGATAAGCTAATTTTCCGTCATCTCCTAGTTCTATTGTGAATTTAATATTTCTGTCAAAAGAATTTAGTGCGTCAAGTGTGTTTTGTATTTCATTTGCGTGTATTATAGCAAATAAGTCATCAACATATTTTGTAAGTAATCTTGGTGTTCGTCGTAATTTCTTGATCGTGCTACCCAAAAGTTCTTCCATTATTATATCGGCGATGACTGGGGAGGCAGCAGATCCCATCGGCATACCTTTTAATTGTGTCTATATCGTGTCTTTAAATTTGAAATACCTATTTTCTTGTGTACTAAAACAAACAAACTGAATTTCTCTCATTAGAATGTGTATCGGGTGTGAGAAACTCAGTTTGTGTGGGAGGTGCCACGCCCCGTTTTTCATAACTCCCATTTTTTCCGTGAGTTTGGCGTTGATATTATATATCTCTGTACTAAGTTGCAGCACTCTACGATGAATACTTCCAGAGATATGTTGTGTGAAAAGTTCAGTTTGTATGGGAGGTGCCACGCCCCCTTGATATATCGAAATTGCTTTTCATCTATTATCATCCCTGCATAGTCTGGGGTCGATGTCCAAAATTTCAAAAATATAGGTACAGCTGTTTTCGAGTTTTTCGAACAGAAAAGAACGGCTTTCAAAATATATATTAGTATAGATAACAAATGAAATGCATCTTTTAATTAAAAGTATCCTTTGGAAAAATGTTTTTGAATAATTTTTCAAATAATTACAGACATTTGAAATCAATTTCAAGTATTTTCCAAAAAAGTGGAAGCATTCAAACGTAAACATTTTTTTCTTCCATTTTTCAACATAAATAAATAAAAAACTAGAGCTTTTTTAAAAAATCGCCATGGATAGATGGACGCGAAATTTATTTATCTCTTATTTAACACAAAGAAACATGAAATCGGTTCATATTTGCGCTCTCAAAATTGATTTGTCCACAGCACCCTTTTTTGCCTCATTGTGGAGTTTCCGGTGAAAGCACTCACCAGGATTGAGAGGTTTTGTGAGCCTAAGGGGATTCCTTGACCGTCTTCGGTTTTCTAGTTAACTCATCCGCATCGAAATTTCTTGCACTCCTATTAAGGTGTCTATATAAGGGCGGTATTGTCACTAGCGAAGCGAATGAATTTGGCAAATCGAACGGTTTGGCGAAGCGAATGGATTGGCGGACGCAACTTAAAGATACATTAAGAGTGTTCTCTTTTACCAGCTTGTGCAAGTTCGTTGCATCGCGAACACTTTTAATACCTTCTCTTCCTTTTAATTCGCTTCTCCAAACCGTTCGCTCGCCTAAATCATTCGCTTCGCAAGTGATAATACCACCCTAAGGTCTAGCTAGAAAATAATTAGACGCAACTGAAAGAGAAGTCAGATATTCCCCGCTAGCTTGCAGAGGAGCATATTTGAGCCTCTGACTTAACCTGGGAGAGATGTGTGAGATTTTACATCGTTCTAAACGTGATTATCTTCCTACTTTGTTGTTGTTGTAGCAGCATACAAGCTCCCCAAAGAGTTTTTGGGGAGTGTTGCTGGAGTGACAGTCCTTGGCCAAATATAAATCTGGGTTGTTCCGGTTACGTAGACCCGACTGTCGTGGGAACGATCTTTCTACTTTCTTCAAGTCTGCTTTGAACATACAGTGGCCTTCACGTAAATAGAACACATTTATTTTGTACGATATTCACAATG